GGACATTAATATGATTTATGTTTTTCTTTTGTGTAGTTAACATTTTTTGCCCCGATCAATAAGGCTCTTGAATGGCTCAAAGACAAGAAGATTCCCAAGGAGGTTATTCGTAGAGTAAGTGTTGAGAAGCAAGCTGTTGACGTCAGTAATCTAGTCAACAATTTACATGATGACCACTTTCCCTTTTTCTTTGCTTCAGGTTTTTCGATATCACGTTGTTAACACCGCTCTCCCGTATAAATCTTTGATTGCCACCCGCGTTTTGGATACGACACTAAATTCATCCGGACTCAATGACGCACCTCAAAAAGTTCGCGTTGGCGGCTGGCCTCACCATACTTATATAAACTGGTCAAAAATTAAAATCTACCGTCTCGCGGCTGGCAATGGTTATGCTTACGGAATTGACCACATTCTCATTCCACCCCCAGACATTATGACCGAGTTATTCATCATTCCAACATTTTTCTCCACTCTAACATCGGCGTTACAGAAAGTTGACTTGGCCGAGACTCTTGAAACGTCTAAAGCTATTACAGTCTTTATTCCATCCAATCGTGCCTGGGCTAAGCTGGGATTTCGCAATCTTGCATACTTGTTCAGTCCGCGGGGAAAGGATGCTCTGACTACCATTCTCAAATATCACATCTCGCCAGAGTTGGCTTATAGTACTGACCTGATAGGAGATAAAGCATTACCTGACCACCTTCCAAACAAGCACCACACCGAATTGGATACTCTAGCTGGATTAAAACTGCAGATTGAGGCGTCGTCCTACGGACATAAATATGCAAAGATAACTGTCAACGGCGTGCGAGTATTGTTCAAAGACGTTCTTGCTAAAAATGGGGTTGGTCACGTAAGTATTTTTTTTTTGGGGCGAGTAGGTCGATTTACACGAGTTCATGAAACACGTAACATAATCAATGAATATTTAATTCTATAGACAATTGCGAGAGTTCTCTTGCCAAAGACTACTGACTTGTACCTGCCTGACGACAATTATCAAACAATTGAAGATGAAAGCGAACTAATGGCAGAGATTGACATCAACGAGGAAAACGAGCAACTTTTCCAATTAACCCGCAAATCGAAGAATCACGAGGTAATTCATTAGTAAACGCAAATGTCAGAAAGAAATAGAAATCGATTATTCCAAGATGTATCGAATAGGTGACAAGCAATCAATTAATTCGAAAATTTTTTAACAGTCAAAATTCGAACGAAGTACGCTCTACGAAACGGTTGATATAATACGAGAATGATCAACATAAATATCAGTTAAACATATCTCGTCTTATCAGGTTGCTGTATTTGACGATCTGTCGCGATTTTATTTATCAATAAAGAAATAGCGTTAAATGAATTAGCCTTCATATTCAGTTTCTACAATCAAATAAACTGTTATTGTTTATTACGTTATTTTCGCTTCCAGCAATTTGACGTGTATCGTACGATTAGGGCGACACTTCGAGCCTGCCCGTCTCTTCACTCTTTTTCGGTTGAGTAAAGCCTCACGCCTCTCAGACGAAATAATGTTAATCGAGAAATAAGAAATTTGGAGAAACGAAGAAAAGATTTATAGAATTCAATCAGATAATTTCTTCTTGATTTCGGACCAATCTCTTTCAATTATATAATGGAACCCAAACAATACGGAAGTAAATGCCTCTGGGAACTATCCTGCAATCAAGAATCCTGTTACTGCCAATGATATGTAAATTGCAAGATGTAATCTTACTTTTTTTGCCTTCTCTGATCCACCTGTTAAACTCGCGATAAGGAGCATAACCTATCTCGACTATTTCCTTACAATTGAAATCGAATATAAAACTCTAGAATCTTTAAAACATCATACAGAGTAGTCGCCCATGTTCAGCTGAAAAGCAAGTTCAATTAACAAATTAACGAATTATAATGAATACAAGTCCACAACCACATATGAAGATTTTTTTTTTTGTATTGATGTATTAAAAATTAATGAAACATTGGTCATTGCAGTTTATTAACTGGAAGTAAAAAACTTCACTGATAATATCTGAAAAATATAGTAATAGTAATAGTGATGATGCCCATTACATAATATCACTTGCAGCAAAGTTTATGCATACATTGATGAAAAAGAAGGAATATTTCTGACAATTCCTAAAGCAACTCCAACTTTATGGCGCCAGATTTCCTCCTTTGACATAACATCATAAACATCTTCCATCCGAGCAATATCATCTTCTTCACTTATGGTTTTATTTGGTAACAGAGTATCCAACTTGACACGTTTGGCAGCTGGAATGATGATTGATGTATCCTCCATATTAATATTGTCTCCGGGACTTAAGAGTGTACTTATCACCTGAACTGCAACATTCCGATTTGGTGCTTTCCAATTTTTTATTTTCCTGTCTTCTTCCAACCAGAATAATTGCCAATCATCTCTGAGGTCTGATAAGATTCCAAAAACGGTCCTACTATCAGAAGTTATCAAATCAGCAACAACCATTTCCATGATAGTTTGCATTACATGTTTCCTCTCGATCCGTTTCTTTAACTCCAGAACTGCATAAATACTCTCTGGAATCAAATGGCTTGCAATACCATTTTTGTCTGCAACCACTACATCAGTTCCACCATGAACATTATATGGTAATCTGGTATCATTATACACATCTAGTAAGTCGTGGTTACCTCCAACATCGTGCCAAACAAGAGGATTGGTTAAAGGAATGTATTGGTGTAGCCATTCCAAGTATTCGTCCTTACGGGCCGGTTCTGTCTTATTCTCCCATTCAAAAGCTGGTGATGACATGTTATTATGAATAAGGATATTGAAAGAGGCAATATCTATTTTGAGATTAAGATGGCTTTTTAAAAGCTGGAAGTTCTCTGTATTGATTTTGGAGATGGATATAGTCTCAACAGTTGGTTGAGTAAGTTTATTGTGTATTTCATGAATTTTAGTGATTGCATCTTGTGAAAGGTAGTGAGATGCTTGATTAATCGATTAGGAGAATAAAAGAATGTGGAAAGAAGTAAAAAGCCAAAGTTAGACACGGTTAATTTTTAAGTTCAAAATCTCCCTTGCGGTGATAGGAATGATAGTTTCTTCTGTTTTTTCAGTATTGTGGGGAGTGTCTGGGACCCGCGGATGGCTCAAAGTTCCGAAGAAAAAAAGGCAAAAATTTTAAATGATTGTATTTACTGCCTTTATTTTTTTCTTATTTATTTTCCATCCATAAATTTTCAATTTCTTGAAAATGTTTCTTTTCTCCTTTTTTTTTTTTATTTTTTTTATATAAAAAAAAATAAAAAAAAAAAAAAGACAAAGAGGCAAATAGTATACCGACGCTCCAATAAACAGATGATTGCATTATTCGCTCACTAATTACCTTGCTCTTTGCCACCCTTAATCATGTCAATCAACCCTGCGATTGATTCTGCTGGTCCTCGAGATAAGCCATCTTGCATAAGTTTTTCTGCAGTTAAACGAAGGAAGGCTTGACCGGCAACTTTTTGATCCGTGATTTTCTGAATATCTTCGTCGTCAAGATCTAGACTTTCTTTCATTGTGTTCAAGAAAGTTGTAACATCATTTCGCTTCCACTTCTCGACCTCTTCAACACTTGGCTTAGGAATCTCAATAGCTCCAACGTCCTCCATGGAAGCTATTATATTTATCAAAGATAATGAGCAGTTCCTCTATATCAATACTTGCAATACAACAATTACCAGTAGACTGCTCCCTTTGCAAGGGAGTTTTTTCGGATGTCTGCCCTTCCTCAGATGTACCAATATCTGGTTGTCGAACGTTTTTTTCTTTTTTAGACGCATCAGCATCTGATGCTTTGCCACCCATTTTCTCATCAATGATAATAAGTTATTTCTCACAAATAATACGCATAATACGTTCACTTTTACCTGTAGACTGGCTAGTAGAAGGGACAGTTTTTTTAGTTTTTCTTTTTCCTCTTGTCATCGTTAAGGAAAGTGACGCGGTGTAACGTTCAACACTTGCGGATGCATATCACGTTAAAAAAATATCATGTGATTTATAACCAATTAACTATTGATACGAATCGGTACACCCCCAGTTTTAATTAAGAGATACTATCAATTTTAAGATATTACCAATTGCTGTCTTTACTCTCAACAAAAAGTATAAATACGATTTATGTCGATCATTTAATATTAATTAAGCATGTAAAACTTTCATCTCCTTCTCACATGTAACAGTAATATTCTTAAAATTGCTAATAGCTCTCACTTAAAACTACAGTTATCTGGCTTTAAAATGATATAAATTTTATTGGTGCTTGTTCGAGAGGATGTGGAGAGTTAGCGATTTGAAAATTTCGATATTTTATATGTTTGGATCGCGATATAGTCACGATAATTTGACTGTTAATACCTTACCCTATAGTACCGTACATCTGTAACGCATGTCGGAAGTGACTGCTTGACAAGTCAAACTAGTATATGTTATGTTGTCATAAAGGCTCTTGTTAGCATTTTTGTGTAAATGTACTTACTCAGGCTCGTGATCGATATCTAGAGTGCTCGTTGTCAGCATGCAGAAATGATTGCCATAACAGCACGACAAATATGCGTTAGCGTAGATTTTATTTTTTCCAGATATGTCTGACGGATAAATCGACGCGATATTTTTTCGTCACAAATTTAAATAAGTCTGCAAGTATATAAAACACATAATATCAAGCATGTTTTCTGAACCAGATTTATTCAAACAAGAAAATGCCAAGCTAGTGGCCGAGAATGCTGAGCTTAATATTAAGCACGAAAACTCAAAACTAAAATAGATTATAGAAGAGAATGCTGAGTCTAAAACCAAAATTATGAAACTGGAACGAACTTTTGATAAAATTGAGAAGCAAATCAAACTATATTGCAGGCTCCAGCCAGTTCATCAACATCCCAACTATCTTCCCTGCCACCTATTGAGGACCACTCTGATAAGTATAATGTCAATCTCAATACAAGCCAAGCTGAATATGAACCCACATAAAGAGGTTAATGAATTCCTGGATTCAACATATAAAAAAAAGGTTATTAAGATAAATTCAGTGCATTAGAGAAAAGAAACTTCAGAATTAAGAATTATTTTCTATATCAGTTGAAGAATCATTATAAAGTACCCCATGAGCAAAATACTCTTCAGCAGTTTTGAGGCCTGTTTTGTAAAAGACCTGGGTACTATTCTCAAAGAAATAAATATCATCAAGTAAAATAAACAAATAATTTCATGCAAAGTACCCCCTAATTCTATTTGTCTATATTAATCGTCATCTACCATATATTCTCATATTAATATGGGGCATATTGCAACAAAACCAGACAAAGTGAACATTCCATAAATGAGAGGCTGATTATGATGTGGCTGTAAAATTGACCAGGCCAGGGTAAATGATAACATTTTGAAAAGTAATAATGGTGCTCATTTATAACTTATGGACTTGTTAATTTTAATGTTCACTTTATCATATCAGAAGGTGATGAATATAAACCAGAACAGGATTAATATAGGATTACCTCTATATATAAAAATATAATATGAAACTAATTTACATCAAATCCAATATGGAACCCAAGAATTACAGCACTATTAGAAGCATTCTAAAAAAAGCTCAAGGAGAAAAAATTGCTCCATATATTTTTAAAATGAATGGCACCAAAATTCTTGAGGAATATCTAGATAAAGAAAAAATCACTGATGAAATTTACCAAGAAGAACGAAAAATAATAAACCATAAACGAAAATTAGAAGACAGGTAAAGGGAAAGCAGTTTAGCATTCCTTATAGTTTTTGACTTGTTGATAAAGAACTGTTAGAATGCATTTATTGAGCTTTGACCACATTCACTACTTTGACACAATACAATTAAAGAAGGCAAACAACGTAAAAATAATTCAATTTTTTTCGTAAGCATAAATTATTATTATTCGATTATCGAATGCGCGCTCTTGAAATATAAATGATAGTAAAAGCACCAGAGTGATTGCATGGGAGGAAAATACTCGGACCCAAAGCCATTTGTGAGTATAACCTATTCTTTGGTCACTCTGGTGCGAATCTAAATATTGCTACCATTTTTACCATTGCTATTATTAATAAAATTATCACTATAATCTATTATTTCGTCATCTTCATGATTTACATTTTCCTTTCTTCATCGATCCAACGTTGAATGGTCTTTCTCCGTGAGGTTGTTCGTCGAAGATAAAAATTTCTTATTGTTGATGCAGCGATGGCTTTTTGTTTATTGAGCATTTTCAATTTGTTTAAGTCAAAGTGATAGATGGCTTTTACGACTGATGTTTGCGATAAATTTAAATTGATGATTGTTAGGTATGAATGAAGAGAGATTCTGACCGTCTTGTTTTATAGTAATTTCATGCGCTCATAAAAGGTACGCCGATTTGTTAAAAGTCTAGACAAAAACCGTTTGATTTACCTCTGAATCCTTTTTCTTTGGACAATAAACAAAACACATAAAGCACACCTTGAGCATCTTTGTTGTTCTTTATGGTAGTATAACAATCGCTAATTAGTATTGGTTAGAGCTTATATTGTGTGACAATTTATAGACAATGTTCTATCAAACAAAAGAATGTACTATTCGTACTAGTCGTACAACGAAACACTAAACCTAATCAAAAGAAGTAACTAATTTAGCACAAGAATCATAGGCAGGGATGAGAAATTGCCGTTAATTACTAACTGAGAGGGAAAGCCAGTCGTCAATGTCGACACTGACTCGAATTCTGCTCCCTCTAAAACACCGAAACCAACGATCACATGCAGTAATACAGTCAACTGCCGTTAATTCGACCGCCTCCGTTCCGGAGTCATCGACGCAAAGTCGAATTAAACGTTTATCCAATCAGAAGCATTTAATGTAACACGGAATTTTATCATAATAAATCTTACACGTTATAACTAGCCTTTAGTAATTATTATTATCAACTTTATTTTCGGTTGAAATTTGCAATTAACCCAACAGAGTAAAACCGTGGTTACAAGCTTATTGTAAAAAAAGTTTAATAGACGTTTGTCTAAGTAAAGATAGATGGTGTAAGGTAATTTGAGTAATAAGACGCCTGACGGTTGTCAAGTCTTCTGTCTTAAAGTCAACGCTGTCTTGTTGTTCGAGAAATATCAAGGACTTCTTAAGAGCATCTATTCCTTCATTAAGGGAAATTTTTTTGACGACGGTATTTTTTTCTTCATCTTCCGTATCAGAGTCGCTCTCAGCGGATTTGCAACCAAGAACTTCTTGTATAATCTCATCGTCGTCAAGGCTCGCGCTTGGGTTCACCATATCATCGACAGTAATAAATTCTGTGGTTTAAGATTGCATTAATTATGGCAATAAATACTTATAATACATTACAAACAAACAGTATTAATATTGATACTCATCCATTTTTCCGATTGGGCTACAATATTCTGTATGGTTGTTTTTCCTACACGACATTCTCTACCTAGTGCTAAATTGGATAACTGAGGGTTTTTAAGTTTTCGCTGACATATTTGCTGTTTCTGTTCGATAATTAAGGTTGTGTAAGGCTTTCTTCTCGATCGAGGCATTTTGAGATGAAATAAATTGTCCATTGCAGCAAAGCATTCATATAAAGATGCGATCGAATAATCGGAATTTTTATCAATGAAATCGAATAATCGGAAAATTAATCAACCCATACATAAATGGAAATGATTTTCTAACGATCGTCTTAACGGGCGTAATTATAATACTATTTATACATGCTGGCTTAATAGAAAATTCTTTGGGCGATCGAATTACAAATTATCGGAAATTCATATGTAACGGTCGAATTAACGGAAAAAATTTCATATGAAAAAATCGGGTAATTGTTCCAGGCGGTCGAATACTGGAAAGTCGAATTATCGGGAGTCGAATTAACGGCAGTTGACTGTAAGTGAAAACTTTGACAATAACCCGGTGTGTTGATGCTAATCATGCAAGAACAGTCGTCATAACCTATCTAAGCATCCTAATAAAATATATTACAATGACAATTTTGCATTAGTATATTATTGACTATTTTAAACATCGCGCCGTCGGTTCCGCTAAAATCGATGATTGTGTACATAGAAAATTTACCGTGCCACAAAAATAATAAGAAAAGAAGATCTGACATAAGCATGAAACGATAGCATAACATAAAAAATTGTATGACACTATACTAATACAGCTGATTTTAATGCAAGTTGCCATTTTAAGGCACCATATTTGCAAGTCAAACCACTTTTTTTTCCGCAAAAATTTCGATGGATGCTACTTTAATCAAGACTAGTATGTTGCTTTTATGTTGCTACAATACTCGCAAAAAAAAAAATTCGACAACAGTCATTTGCATCCCGAAAATGGTTTTTCAAATTGAATGTAAATTATAATTATATTCGTAAAATTTTATTTACCTTGTAAAAAATTGTCTAAGTAAAAACTCTAACTATACCTCAATAATAATAACGCCTTTGACCTTAGTAATTAGTAGCCCTGCAACTATATCAAATATTTGCCAAGAATGAATCATTTATAATATTCTAGAGTATAAAGAACTACTTGAATACAATATTTGAACGAACAAACTATCTATTACTATGTGCATAACATGTGCAATGTAATCAGTAACCTAACTCAAATGTTGCATACTTATGACAGGGTATACATTCTGATGCTGGCTATGCAGAAATTAGAGCAATAATTGTGGGGCTGATGGTAAAATACATATAAAATTTTTATTACCTAATTGTCACAACTTTGTTAAATAGATTTTTCTAAAAACTATGACATAGTAATAGTAAGATATGTGTATAAATTTTACTGTAAAACAAGTTAAATGCCACTATTTACTATTATTATCAAAATCATCATAATTAGAAAAATTAGTGTTCATTAGTATTAGGTAGTTGTAAGTTTATAATAATAATAATATACTGGTTGTATTGAGTTAAAATTTTACAGTAATGGTTTTTGTCTTTGTCAATATCATTGCTCCTGCATCTTCAATATTATTGTCAGAAAGTTCCAAAGAAGTCAGATATAAATTTGATTCTAAAGCCTTTGCCAACACTGTTGCTCCTGTATCTCCAATGTAATTGCCAGAAAGTTTCAAAGAAGTCAGGGATGAATTTGATTCCAAAGCCTTTGCCAATGCTGTTGCTCCTACATCTCCAATTTGATTATCATTGATATTCAAAGAAGTCAGAGATAAATTTGATTCCAAAGCCTTTGCCAATGCTGTTGCACCTGCATCTCCAATTTGATTATGATAGAGATTTAAAGAAGTCAGAGAGGAATTTAAATCTAAAGCCTTTGCCAATGTTGTTGCTCCTGCATCTCCAATATTATTGTCAGAAAGTTTCAAAGAAGTCAAAAATAAATTTGATTCCAAAGCCTTTGCCAATGCTGTTGCTCCTGCATGTTCAACCTTATTCCAAGAAAGTTCCAAAGAAGTCAGAGATGAATTTGATTCTAAAGCCTTTGCCAAAGCTGCTGTTCCTGTATCTCCAATATTATTGAAAGAAAGATTCAAAGAAGTCAGACATGAATTTGATTCTAAAGTCTTTGCCAATGCTGTTGCTCCTGCATCTCCAATATTATTATCAGAAAGTTTCAAAAAAATTAGAGATGAATTTGATTCCAAAGCCTTTGCCAATGCTATTGTTCCTGTATATCCAATATTATTGAAAGAAAGATTCAAAGAAATCAGACATGAATTTGATTCTAAAGTCTTTGTCAATGCTGTTGCTCCTGCATCTCCAATATCATTATAAGAAAGATTCAAATTCAAAGAAGTTGGAGATAGATTTGACTCTAAAGTCTTTGCCAATGTACTTGCTTCTCCATATTCAATATTATTGTCAGAAAGTATCCAAGAATTAACAGAAGGGTTTGGTTTTAAGGTAACTATCAGTGTTGTCATTCCCTTATTATTAATACTATTCCTCAGTTTCTGAGAAAGATCCAGCACTTTACCTGGTAAATGCTGACTTTTATTATCAAGTAACAGTTTTAATTGTTTGTACACTTCTTCACATGATAGTCGTTCATCTGAATTATCACTCCAACATGTTGAATATAGCTGAATGTATGCTTCTGGTGTTCCTGGAAATGGAGAATCCCGATAGCCTTGTTTTCTATATTCTGCCACACTATAATGAGTACACTTTTTACAAGGAATTTGTCCACTAGAAACTTCCCAAAGTAGCACCCCAAGACTAAAGATATCAGCCTTCTTTCCACGTTTATATGATTGAATTCTGAATGATAAGGGATCTCTGTATGCTGCATTGCCTTCTCCTATTGATGAGGATATAATCTGTCCAGATAGACCAAAATCAGTAATTTTTGCAATGCCGGATTTGATAAGAACGTTAAAGGAGGACTGCAAGTAAGAGTTAGGAGCACAATAATTATTATTTTGTAATTGTCAAATATATTCAGATAACCGTGACAAAAGAAAAGTGTAATCTCATATACTACCAAGTCTTTGTGGATGATATTAAGCTTATGCATGTGCCTCAAACCGTTAGTAATTTCCAGACTGAGCTTATACTTGTCCTTCCATGTCAAACTATGAAAATGTTGCGCTAAGTGATTGCGCAAAGTTCCGCCATCAGCAAACTCGAAAATCATATGATAACCGTCATCTTCGTCTTTAGTATCAGAGTAAAAATACATGTCATATGTAAAAATACATCTTCACAAATTATAATAATAAATGTATACGTACAGACACCAAACAATCTGATAATATTCGGATAGCCGCTCAATTTCCTGTGGTTTTTTAGCTGGTGGTATATAAAGCGTTAGTAATAATAAAGCGGTCTACGCTCGAATATTAAACAGAAAACTAATAATCAACCTCTTTGATAAGTTTTTTGTAAAATTTTTCCTCACAATCATGGGCATACCGATACAACGTTTTTATGGCAACAGTCAATCCACTTTGTTTCATCGTTGCCTTATACACCGCTCCATAGGAACCACCAGCAATAGGTAAACGACCCACATCAATTTCGCTTTTTGGGTAACAGCAGATAGAACCCTCTTGAATACGCTTGTCTATCCATTCCTTATTAGGCTTTTCCTGCTTACAAGAAATTACTTGAGATTGTGAAGGTTGTTCATTAATTTCCACCTGAGAAAATTGATGTGAAAACCCGTTTCCCGATTGATCAATGTTGCTTTGTAGTAGAGATACTTGCTGATAAACGTTTACTTTGGACGGAGCCGGACGCGGAATAATCTGTGTTCGCTGTAATGCCATAATAGTATGCCTGATGGTGAGCTTGATACGGTAACCTCACAGTAATCCGAATATAAATAGACAAACCTGTAATTGGGCATACTCCAATGGCTCAATCAAAGCAACTCCGACCATGTCTTGAACCGAGTTTTGTCGGCTCAGTTTATGGTCAGATTGCATCGGCATGGTGGTTTCGTTCGGTTTCTGTTCTTCATGCTGTCCCAAATGCGATAACCATCGTTGTTGATGTGGCTGCTGAAGCGTAAATAGGTTTTGTTGCGGAAACAGAGTGCCATTTGGTTGCTGAATCGAATTATCTATATATGTCGGCGTTTGTTGCTTGTTTGTCATTTGCGGAATAAAATACGTTGGTAGACCACTGGATGTAAGCATATTAATATCAGTGGGTGATTGTGAAAGACTGAGTAATGATTGATCTTGTGGAAACTGTCGTCTCCATTCCATTTCTTTTTGTGAATTCAGCAAATCTTGATATAGATAATGAGTCGAGTCACCCATGTATTCTGGCCGCATTGGTTGATAAGTTATGGATGCAGAAGGATTAAGCAACGTATGGCGTTGTTGTTGATGCTGCTGTTCTTGCATCGTTTCTTCCTCTTGTTGATAACTCCATGGTTGGCTCTGCCAGGCTTGAAAAGGTCGCTGGGACATTTTGTACGTTAACTAGAATTAAGTCAATAATACTATTACTAATACTAATACAGTATATGAGCCCAAATCTATATCACGTGATGGTAATTGCAGTACGCTTTAATGGTAAGAGACAAAGAAATCGTGGCGCTCAAGGGGCGGTTGGAGCGGGTGAAGGGGGAAAGGAAGAGAGGAGATGACAGTTGTGCGCTTATGCAGAGGTCGTTAATGTAGCGTATTTTTTTTCCTTCCGAAAAGCAATTCCGTAAATATTTAGGTGAAAGATGAGTATATCAACAATTACAATCACCCCACCTCGTATGATCGCATTCATCCGTTGATCTTTTAAACTATCAACGGCTGTTCTGTTGATAGTAACACTTACGATTGAAAGTTGGTCGTGCCGTTTTTCCTATTATAACATTGCAAGCAGTCGATTGAATTGCTGTAGCAGCCCAGAACGTTTGTCATGTTCAGAGAAAGAAGGGCTTAAAAAGTTTTGAATACTACTTAGCCACGATATATGGTTCTTAATTTTAGAACAAATTTTATTAAAACAATCAAGTGACTCGTAAACTCTGTTTATGAAAGCTAGGATTAAGATACTCACATTCATGCCTGTATTCCTTTTTTGTCGAATGCACTCTTGCGTAAACCATCCAGAGAGGCAATCAACCATCAGACAAGCTTATGAATAACCCGTACACTATAGAAAAGTACATTTAATCGATACTTTCCGTTTGCTCGTTCGATTATTTGCAAGGAAATAATCGATCTGATTATTATGTGGAATTAAAATTGTAACTACCCTGGAAAGAAGTCGTTTCTCGTATTTTCTTCGGACTCTTTTCGCGTTTTGTTGACAGATTATTGAAATAGAAATCACTAATAAGAATTAAATACGTTTGTTAAGCTTCTTCATCGCCGTTGTCAGAACCATAATTACATTTTCCCAGGCAGTAAAAGCATTCAGTATTTATAATTATTTACTTGACTTACATGCATTAATATTAAGACACATAAATAATAATTTGCAATCAATACGCACGTATTAAGCAGGTCAATTATGTTGTTGTAAATCCTACGACTCAAATTCATGCGGTAATTTTACGGGCTTTGATTTAATTCCGCGACACCAATTTCTTGATTATAGAGTAATTTAGTTGAGGTGTAATAGTGATAAATTTAACAGCTTAAGTCATCAGCTAAAGTCATAAATATAAAGTTTAAAGGATACGTATAGTTAATTAAACTCTTACATAACTGTAGTTAGCGCCTTTTTTATCAGTACGTAATAGTAACTGATGCAAAATTTTCTATATAAAATGTTATTGTTCGATAAAAACTTGATATTAGATGTATAAATTAATTTGTATTTGATGGGCTCTCTAGAGGACTAGTACTTTGCAAGCTTCATTTGACAATGTTGGACATACTACTAACACTACTCGGTATCAAACGTCGCCGGAATTCCCAAACACAGCCACCCACCATTTGGATTTGCTATAAAAAAAAGTAAAACCAGTTTATTTTTGGCAGTGGAGTATTTTGACAGATATAATAGAACGGATAAATACTTGCTATCATAATTATTCTAATTGAGCGATAATAATAACCAAGTCCACCGGTTTTGTATAATGAGTGCGAATCACAATTATCCAATGGCTAATTATGCATCCCTGCAACGTAATAAAATTCTTTTTGGAACATCTCGAGCTTATTCTCCTTAACCAATATCGATATGTCCTTCCTCTTCTTCTAATGCTTTATCGGAATTTCTAATTACTGCCTTTCTTTTGAGGACTACTATCCACGCTAATAAAGCGGTATTGCAAATCAATCCAGAAAGATACATTTGTCGCGCACTTCTTGAGACGTTCTTTTATATTGGAAAACCCAATTTTTTAATCTTAATCTTGCATCACGGCAGCTAGTATATGCCCAGTATACGCCACTGTCCGGAACGTGAAAAAATAAAAAAGTTGAAAAGGCACGTCTCCGAAACCGAGTAAATAAAAGAGGATGCACAAGATTAAATATGCACGCAAATACAAAAATAATGTCAGTCGGTTAATACCCTGAATGGGTAAAAATTTACCAAGTATGCAATTATTAATTAAGTGGTATTTAATCGAGTCTGTAATATTTTATTCGAATCACTTCAAGTGTTTCTCATCATTAATAATATTAATAAATTACAAGATTAATTTTGTTTAAAATCTATAAATATAAAATAATAGTAAGAAGAATATACACGTAGTAGTAGGTAATACTATATTCATGTCATCTTTATAACTATTAATACAATGTTCATCCATCTCTGGGAAATGGTTTACTCGAGTATTTGCTCTCTTTCTCAATATGTGATATTGGTTTTAGATTTTCATTGCAATAAATGCTCTTCCATTCATCACCAGCTGTTCTATGCTTAATTTCTTTGTAGACTTCCAATGCTGTTGGCCGGTTGCTAGGATTAGCATCACAACATTTTTCAGCAAGCATCTTGTACAACTCTGGCACTGTATCAGGCATTTTTGGACGCAGTCCCTTACAAATGTCTTTAACTAATTTCTGGTCAAAGGTCCTATCTCGAAAAGGTGGCTCCCCACTAGCTATCTGATACATAAAAATGCCCAAGGCATAAATATCAGATTTTGGTGTAAATTCTCCAGTACCAAAAACTTCTGGTGCAATAAAAGATAAAACACCACATAAATTTGAAGAATTTAGTTTTTGTGCATTTGCTATTTGATAATGTCCTATGTCATAGAAATATGATGGGGAAGTATTGTTGTTATTTAAAAGTATATTCCCACCATGCAGATTACAATGCACTAGTCTTGTACTGTGAACAGCCTGCAAGTGCTTTACAATAAATTCCACAATCTCCATCTTCATCTCCCAGGTCAACTGGTTGATATTTTGACTTAGATAAGATGAGAGGTTGCCACCATCTGCATATTGCATTACAATCATGTACTCTCTTGTCTGTGGCTGTTGTGTAATGCCATATATTTGAAGAAAATTGTAACTTGAAGAACAAAATGCATAGCCAGATAAGACATGGCTTTTGATCTATAATAAAAGTAAATGATTAAAATCATATTGTAACTAATTTAAAAACTTACATGTATTAAAAAATTTTACCTCAGAAATAAGTGAGTTGATATTATTGACACACCTCAAAACAACCTGACTTGACACACCTTTCAGTTTAGGTATAAGAGAGTCTTTACACTTGGCAGTATAAACTGTTCCATAACCACCTGATCCAATCTTCTTGATTTCATCCAATTCATTATAATTTATCCAAGAAAAGTCACGCCAGAGAACTGAATTTATTATCTGTATAATGTGATCCAAGACTGACTGCATATCATAATGAAACACCAAATAACAGTCTTCAGTCAATGGCTCTTGTGTGATGCCAATTATCCAGATATTATCTGAAGTCAACATATCTGGGTAACATTCTGTTAACTGTTGGACAATATAAATAAAAGATTGTAAGTCTTATTTTAATACTGACCTATTTCTACATATACAATTCATTTGCTCTTAATAACCACTTACATTATTATTAACTATCAAATTACCTGGTAAAAGTCAAATAATTCTACATCCAATCCATCAACAATCTTCTTTATTATAACTCTTGTTAAGACGTTTTCACCTGTTGTGAGTTCTATCCAGTCAGCAGTGTGTGTGCATCCATGGCTTAATGATGGAGTTTCTTGCATGTTGACTAATTGAGAGAATTTTATCCACTGTAGATAACTATCATGCTTGTATAGAGTATTTTCCCATGATTTCATGATAATAGAGTCCAGAGACTTGTTGCCCGTAGTCCAACCAGGTGGTATTGATGATTTACACTCAGAACAAAACATGCTTATTTTAGAATTTAGATGCCATGTACATGCCAAACATAAGCCAATATTGTAAGAGTCCCAACATATAGCCTTAATTAGAGCATACTTTTGCCATTGTGGATGATATGTAAATCCAATAGTAATCCAAACTTTGTTGTCAAGTATATCTGGGTGATCCTCACAGAGCTAAGAAAAGTAGATAAACCATTTAGAACAAGGTCAATAGTAATAGTCATGAATTCATGCAATCAACAAGTTACCTTGTGATAGAATAAATCGTTTGCCATATCTGACATTTCTAGTGGAATCAATTCTACCCTCACATTACTAGCTACACTAAACTTTAGGAATACCGCCATATCCTGTTGGATTTCCTTCTCTTTGGTCAAAGCAGGTTCAACGATTGTATCAATTTTACTATATGCCGATCTAAACTCCAGCAGATCAAATGGAAGCCATTCCAGATAGGCATCATTTGCTGTCTTTGTTTGAATTTGTGTCTGTCTAATAACTTTATCCAGTTTTTTATTTTTACTGGTCCACCCAGTCGATAATTCTTTACGACCGCAGATGCACCATACTGGACTACAACGTAACACTTTACAAATAGAACAGAATCCGTATAAAGTATAGTAATGATGAAATTCTCGTCTGGCCACCAGATAATAATTCTTTTCATCTTTGGTAAAACCCTTCACCAATCGATTACGATCGTCAATCCATTTTGCATATCTTTTAAATTGATTAATGTTCCGTGGATTTTTGTATTTGTGTATCGGAAGAGAGTATATCTTGGCAAACTGGTGCATGGATTCTCGAGTGCATTTATTAATGGTTCCAAGCGATAACAGCATTACTTCAGATTTACCCGAGCTTTGATAGTGCGTAGCGTAATAAATGGTTAAACCAGTGGATGCTTGAATTGGCTCTACATCTGCAAATTCCGAGTACGATATCCATTTGAGACGTCTACGTTCTGGTATTATATTGCCCTCGTCATCAATCTTTGAAGATTCAATCAAGCGGTCAATCGGCGAACATCCTGAAGGACTTTTAATGGTTGAAGTTAAAATCACGGACATTCTTGCTAAGAGCCTTTCGAACAAGTGAGGATATCATATGCACGCTCTTGTTACTTAATGTCGATGT